GGATTAAACTTGAGGATCCGCGTGTTAGTCACCTAGAGACTCTCCAGGTGGGTCCTCTCTGGGCTGCTGGAGGTCACAGGAAGGACTCTCTGAGTAGGTGTTGAGATGGCGTTGGTGTAATCCTTACATCATAAGCATTTAGATGACAACCCCTGGTTTTCCCTGCAGTTCTTAAGGTTTGCATGGTTGACTGTTCCTAATGAGAGGTCACCTCAGTGACACACGGAGTTCCTCTCAAGCAGGGCACTCGTAGGCCCTTAAGGAATTGAAGCCTGTGGTTACTTGAACCAGACATTCAGTCTCCATTTGATGACTACAGAATGATGGAGACAGCCTTCCTGACATCCACTGGCTTTTCCTTATGCTCGAGTATTGTTGTGGGTTTGGTGCTCGGAGCAGTACTGCCTTGTGAGGTCGCGGGCGGCCAAATGAATTACCTGGACTGCTTTCTGCAACAACTGCATTTTCTATGATAGAATGCCATGCAAGTAACACTTGCTAACACAAATCTTCTTAGTATGAAATTCTGATAGATCACAAAACTTCACAAAAAAATCGCAGGAGAATTTTTTTCTCCTGACAGTGATCTTTAAAAGCTTATTTAAAATCTCTTTTTAAAGGGCATGAGGACATATGTCCACAAGCCACTTAGTCATTGAATAAATTACCTTTATCACTTTGGAACTGTGATGCAGAAGCTTTTAACACTATCAGGAAGGGGGAGATTGTTCAGAATCCAAAATCATTCAGAATCCAAAATTGGGATATACATTGTAAAACATCAGATCGGGTCTATCTTTATGGGAATGAGAGAATCGACTGTCTAAAACCAAGAATGTTCCAGAAAAGGGACACCTGGATGGCTCAGGGGTAGAGCGTTTGCCTTCGGCTCAGGTCCTGATCCTGGGATCCGGGATTGAGTCTTGCATCGGGCTCCTTCCTGGGAGTCTGCTTCTCCCTCTGCCTGTGTCTCTGACTCTCTCTCTCTCTCTCTCTCTCTCTCTTTCTCTCTCTCATTCGGTGTTTCTCATGAATAAATAAATAAAATCTTAAAAAAAAAAGTTCCAGAAAATTGGAACAAGTGATTGCCACAGTAATAGCTTTAATAATTAATATTTGGGTGCCTCTAGTCATATTTTATCTGTTTTAATCTTTCCCTAACAAAGTAAAATAAAAATGATTTAGTAAAAACATTTCTACTTGAATCAACCAAGGAAGTCTCTTGGGAGTCAGTGAAGAATTTAGAGAAAGAGCACTAAAACTGCTACTTTCTTCATCTTGCCAAAAAGTTAGCCATCTAGTATGGTTGTCTGGTGCAGAAACTAAGCTTGAGAAAGATCAGCAATATTATGAAAAGACGGTAATTAAAGACTTGGAAGTTTTCTTTATTGGTTTCATCTTTTAAATATGCACGTCTCTTTTAACTGTAAACAAAACCTCTCGTGGCTATTTTTTTTTTTTTGAGTAAAATTAAGTGACAAATTGCTAATTCCACTCCTGAAACCAACACTATACTGTATGTTAACTAACTTGAATTTAAGTAAAAAAGTTAAATAAATAAAAAATCAGTGTTTAAAGTTGTTAAAAAATGCAAGTTTTTGTATGCATTAAATCATGTTTTATGTGTGTGTGGCTTTGTCATCAAGTATTCCTTCAGAAGACTTGAATCCATTAAATATGTTTGTGGGATGGTGGTAAGTGGCTATATGCTATCAAAGAAAGACTTGTGTTTCCTGGGGCAAAGTAATTTTCAATTAAATTTTATTCTTAATATAAATTACCATGGCATAAAACATCATCTCTTATATTCTTTCTAACATATTATATTTACTGAAATGGCCAGTGTTTTCCCTTTTCTTGTTTTCTATTTTCCCAAAGGACACTAATAAATATAGAAAGGGAACTGGTACTTTTTTTTTTAAGATTTTATTTATTTATTCATGAGAGACAGAGAGAGGCAAAGACATACCCAGAGGGAGAAGCAGGCTCCCTGCGGGGAACCTGATGCAGGACTCCATCCGGGGATCCCTGGATCATGACCTGAGCCAAAGGCAGATGCTCAACCACTGAGTCACCCAAGTGCAGGACTTACTACTTTTGACCAGAGGGAAATGGCCCTGACCTTCCTTTATTTTCAAGGACTTTGGAGAGCTAATTGTTATGGGCGGTGGGTGGTGTGCTATATGTTGAAGCCCTGAGGGGAGGGCCTTTTTGTTATAAAGCAGCAGGCCTCGTCTTGTTTATACCGAAGTACAGTAAAGAAAAGAAATAGGATCAAGATAAAGACGCCACTGAGAAAATATAGGAAATCACTTGCGTAATGAATTCCTTTTACTTAAATACTTATGACTGAGCTATGTTTAGATTGCAAGAGGGAAGTGACTTTGGAAGGCTTTCAGTGCAGACACTCATTGTCAGTTTTATCAAACAGCATCCTACATCGCATCAACATACTATAAGAAACCGGATTACTCTCCAGCATTCTAGCAAATACAACTCAAGTCAGTAAGCAGTGATTTATTTCCCTCTAGCCAGTTTGTAATCTTAAATCATACTATTCCACATCCTTCAAAATTGAATAAGAGTTAATTCAAGAGCTGATGGTCCATCTCACATTCTATTCAAACTATGGCTCATTTGACTCTATAATTTAATTTTTATTTTTATTGAGAACTTACATGCTTGCCTTTCTATTCCGTTGACTTTCTTTTCATTGTTCCTTGACCCTCAATCATTTCAAAAAAGTATAGTGGTAGCTTCTTCTGTAGAGTTCCTGAGTGCCTTGGGGGACTCCTCTCATATTGCCGGAGGGTTGCTGAGAAGGGAGAGTTAGTAGGGAGGAGCCCTTTGGATATTTTTTGATTTGGGGTCTGGAATTTAAATCATGAACTTTTATGTCTGACCATATGAAATGCTAAAATATTTATCAATAATTTGGAATAGTTTCTTCACTCTAAACCATACTATCTAAGAATGAAAACTTGAGAGTTTAATGACAGCAGTTTAATACACACATATATAATTTATATATAATGATATATATGCAGTTATATATTATTATATATAATGAATACATTATGTACAAGTGTATATGTATCATTTTACACTTTTTGCCTTGGTGTGTAAATGTATGATACAAGAAACAAAGTGAAGCAGATTTCCCTTGTGCTTAAGGATACCCTGTTGGATTTAGCTATAATTCAAAAACTATTCATGGGACAACAACCATATACTAGATGTTAGCAACAGAGAGGAAGTAAGATAGATTTTTGTTCTTAAGGTTCTTACGGTATAATTTAAGAGACTGGAAAGTAAACAGAAAACTTACTGTGTGACAAGGTAAACAGCAGAAGTGCTAAGTCCAGGCTGCTGCACACTACAGGTGCACACATCGCTCTAGAAGGCATAAAAACCTACAGAGAACTATTGAGAGAAAATTTGACCTACAAGTCTGCATTTTGATGAGCTTCTCCTCGTGGATAATCATTGGATTTATACAATAACCTTAAAAGCCCATATTGTTGTTGTTGTTGTTTTTAGTTATGACCCTGACTAGATATATTTTTTTTTTCCTTTCAATCCTGACATTTTGTTATTCTGTATTAAGGAAACTTGGTCTAGCTGCCTGTTTTGTAAGAAGCACAAGGTTTAAAAAATAAACAATACTGTCCTTCTTCCCACTCCTACTTTTTATTGTTGTTGTTGTCTTTGGGAAAGTTCTTAGACCTTAATCCCACATGTTAGAGGCAGTTTGAGAGATTTTGTGAATCATTTAATAAATTATTACCTTGGCACTCAACTTTGTTGTAATGATCATTACATAAATTAATGCTTCCAAAATTGCTGAGTTTTAGTTAAGCCTAGGTCACAATAATGTGAATTATGACATGTTTTATCTTTTATTTTAGTTATCAAAACCATACTGGATTAGCCTGCAGGAAATCTGGTCAATTTTCATGATAAATTGACCTGGCTATATAATGCATAATTCAGTTGCACAGCTGTATAGTCTAGTGTGTTCTCTGAGGCGTGTAGCTTTACTTGTAGATTTGCATCAAGAAAGTCTACTCCAGTAAGTTTGATTTATATCTCAGAAACATATAAATATGTGCATATTAATTTTTAACATAAAACCAACTTAAATACTTTATTATAAACATTGAATATATTTTTCCTGAAGTTCACATGCCAGGTTTTGAAAAACCACAGGAATCTCTGTGGAAGTTTTTTTCACAATATTCTTGTGACAAATCTCTTGTTTAGAAAAATCTCAGCTTTTTTTCTGTTCATACTCCCCCCCAAAATGCTCCTTAGTGGATATTTAAATTAGGTGTTGAATTTTGTATGATGAGAGGCTGAATGGCATGGTGGCTAAGACTATGAGTATTGAAATCATAGGCTGTAAGTATTCCTTTTCTGTTTTCATAATTGCTAAATGCCATAATATGACCAAAACCAATATATACAAATGGTTTTCTTTCATCCTCATCTGTGATTAAGATAAGGACAATAGAGGAATGTAGAAATCATTCTAGAATGGGTCCAATCCCCTGCTGAAGGTACCATCCGGGGTAACTTAGAATATGTTCTATTAATAAGGACAAAAGATTAATGTGAGTCTTACAGGTACTGAGGCCACCTGAGCTCAGGGACAATGGGTAAATAACGTGCCTATGAAGCTCTGTGGAAGCTGGTGACAGAACTGATGGTGACAGCTAAGTAGATGTGCTAAGGGGGAGTTTCACGAACCTAATTAAAATGCACCTCTTAGCCATGAACCCAGGTCATTCTCTGAACTGGAAAAGCCCTGCATCGATATAGTTCCAACATGGAGAATATCTGTTCCACAGTCACTGAAATAAAACTTCTTCCTCAAGCTTCAGCAATGTGTCGTTCTTAAGGTTTTAGAGGAGAGGCAAAAGAGTGTTTCCAGATGTTTGAAAAATATCCTTTTAGGCAGAATGCTCAGCAAATGAGTTTCTACTTTGGTTGTACTTACCTTTGAGGAAGTTCAGAGATTTCAAACTTAATAGAGGATGTGAAATCCATCCTGAATTCAATTTCAGGTGAGTATTAGGTTCTTTTTAATTTCCTTTTTTTATGAGTGGCATAGAAATACCCTCCTTATCCACCTGGTATATGTCAGGGACAGTGTTGGACACGGTGAGCAAGTTAGTCACTAAATATCCCCAATTTCTTGGTTTCTACATTATTTTTATTACTCATGACACTTGTCAGTATTTAGAATTATCAGAAATAATTAATGGAGATGATGAAATTAATGTTACACTTTTATTCCTCATTAGTATATTAGAATGGTTATTTGACAGAGAGACACTATGTAAATTATTTTTTTTTGTTTTTTAAAAGACATGTAAATTAAATAGCAACTATGTTTTAAAGATTTTACAGAGATGTTTATTTACTATTATATAAGCATTTTTTGTGAATGGGAACAAGTTAAAGTTACTGGGTAAATACAAAATAAAAATTATATAAAATGCTGCTGAACTATTTTATGCATCTAAGCAATATTACAGACGACTGAAACCCAAATTTTCATGTGCCAAATATCCCTTAAGAGTTATGATACTATTAAAACATTGTCTGTGAACCATATAACTCAATTTCACCAATACTTCAAAATTTTCAGATGGCATTATTTTATAAAATTCACGATTGCTATATTTTTCTAGTATAATTGTATAACATAGATAATTTACTAAAAATTAATAGCTTTTAGTAACTTCTTTTGGTATATATTTTCTCTATTTCTCCCAATACTCTGAGACTGAAGAAACAGCAGAAGATTACTGCCTATTTATGCAGAAAATCTAAACTGGAAAATCAATAGCACAGCTGGAAAGGCTAATGAATTTAGCATTTAAAAATGCTTAGAGGTTCAAAATCTATCCCTGGGTCCCAGAGGTGGCTCTTTTTGATATAATCAACCCAAATGTGAAAACTTCGGAACCACTTAAACATCCACTGGTGAAATACGTTTGTCTAGGCTAAAACTTTCACAATTTTTTCTCGTGATTGTCTTTCATCACTCATTATTTGCTTCTGAAAATGTTCATTTCTTATATTCTCTTTCAAAAGACAAGTTGCTAATTGACCAGCAAGGTAGCTGGCCCTGGTTAAAGCTCTGTTATTGAATTCCTATAGTGGGAGTGAAAACAGAAATAGTGATGGATACCCATGTTATGCCTACAATTAACAGAGTAAACATCTTAATAGGCATAGAAGACACAAACAGATGTTCTAATTGCATGTCTGTGAGAAACTGATGTTTACTGGTTCCACTCTGGCTTGGCCTTTGAGACCTCAGGAAGTTTCTCTCCCAGTGGGGATTTCAGTGATTTATTGATTTCAGTACAATGAATATTTCAGAAACTAGCAGGATTTTTAAGAGGTTAAATACATCCTTACAAAGGTTAGCATTAATTCATGCTTGAAGGGAATGCTTAACTCTGCTTTAAACCAGGGTAAGGATGGTCACATTTGCCAAATTCCTGCCTAAGTGGGGAGGAACATGGACAGGGTAACAGAATTTCTACTAATAGAGAATGTAGAAATAAAACATTAGCACAGATTTTTTTTCCTAAACTGAACAAAAATGAGAGCTGTATGAATAATAGCAAACTCCTAAAAATTCCTGGTTGAAATGCTGATTAGTCTTGATCAAAACAGTAGAGATATATTTTAGACTTGCATTTGAGACACTTAGAACTAAATAATGTAATAAGTTCAGAAACTTGAAAGGTTTAAATGCTTAAGAAATGCTTAATTTACCAGCCACTTTCTATATTGAATTTACAAATTTATTCTGATGTAATTGTTTGGCCAGTGTCTACTAGAAAGAGTCTAAATGGTAATTGATGGGTACTTTGTCTTCCTCTGCTTTCTTTCTTCTTTGTCACATTCACAGATATTGATAAGCTGGTATGTCCTCATTGGTGTTAATGATGATACTCATTATTTATCCAGAATACTTATCCAGAATTTACTTCATGCCAGGTACTGTGTTAATGGTTTAAACAAATTATCTCATTAAAAGAATGGCATTACATCAGATGAATAAGTATGAAACATTGACAGACTATTATTTTGTAATAAATGAAAACAATATTTTATCTTCTTAGCTTCCCTTTTAAGTTATGTTCAATTACTAGTTACTTGACATAGGATCTGGCTAAACTTTTTCTTCTTTAGATTAAAAAAATAGCAGATAAGAATTTTGTGATGGAACAGGCCTCCTGCTTGAATATTTTATGGCTGTCGACCAGCACTGGCCATATATATATATGTGGCCATTTGGCACCTGAAGCATGGCTGGCCTGAATCAAAGACTTGGGATGCAGAAAAGAATTTAAAATATTATCTTAATATTTTTATATTGATTACATGTGCAAAAAAATAATAATTTGGATATACTGGTTAAATAAAACATAACTAAAATGAATTTAACCTGCTTCTTTTTACTTATGGCTACTAGAAAGTTTCAATTTTAATAACTGGAATTACTTCCCTTGTGAGCACCATACTGCTTCTCAAATCTAGGAATTGGATTGGATACTGCCAACTTCTTTCTTAGTTCCACGTTAATTTTTGCATGATACTTGCTTTACATCACAGTGACCACAGATAACCCAGTTTCACAAAGATAGGCCATTGTCTTAAAATATAGTGTGATCTAACATTGAAATGGGAAAAAACGTTGATCTAACAGTTCTCCTGGTGTCTAACACATGTCAAACAGTGCTATAATTTCCTCAAACATTTAAAATATCCAGTAGCACCTTTATGTGTTAAGTGAGGTTCCCTGGTATGTTTTGGCACACAGTTTGGGAACCATGAACATTTACTATTAAAAATGAAAAATTTTATTTTGTATATATTTCATAAGTAAGTAGAATTATAAATTCTACCATGGAATCAGAATATATAATCTAATTTACTTTTATGCTCATTCATTTATCCATTGGTTTAGTCATTCAAATTTTATGTAAAATATACAACACATGGAGGGCTACGTGCTGGTGACACAGCAGTGAGAACACAGGCAAAATTCCAGTCTTGTGGAGTTTACATTCTAATAAATAGAAACAAACAGATTTCAAAATACCAAGTAAACAAACAAGGCAATTGCAGATTGTGATAGGTACTAAGGAAGAAGTGATGCCACAGAGTGTTTCTGGGATGAGAGTGGATGATGATTGGCCAGATGAAGTGGCTAGAGAAGATGTCTTGAGGTGATCTCTGAGCAGATACCTAACCTGGGGAGTGGCTAAATCCGAAAAGGGTGTTCTGGAAGAAGCAACAGTAAAGACTTTGTGAGTGGAAATAACTTGGGGCATTTGAACAGCAGAAGGGAGACATTGTGGTTGAGGAAGGGAGAGGCTGATGTGACAAGGTGGAGGGGTTGCCAGGAGCTGTATCACGCAAGGCTTTCAGTGCTGCAATTGTTAGTTTAAGCCTGGCTGAAGCAACCGAGCACAATGCTTTGCATATAATGGATGCCAAGGAAATGTTTGTTGAACTCATGTAGATAGGCAAGTAATGGGTGCCAAAAATAGATACGGGGTCCAGTTTAAAAAAATAAGACTAAAAACTTGGAAGACAAATACCTTTGTCTCATCATTCAGGCCTAGCATATGCCTAAATCAGGTTTTTTTGGCCTGTACTACTAAAAAGTCAGAATTCTTTTTCTCGTTCTAAGCTATTCCTGCTTTGAGGCTGGCCTTCCTTGTCTACCACTAACTACCTCCCTCTTTGAACTTCAGTTTCTACTCCAGGCGTAAATTAAAGTTATCATTCCTGGCAATCCAAGCAGTATGTCGCTTCTGGTTTCCGGGTTCTACTGAATTAAAACATTTCCCTTTTTATAACTCTTTCCTGCTCCTCTAAGTTTCTTTTTGATTGATTTGATCTTTTATCCTTCCAGAAATAGACTTGTTTTATTCCAAGAAGGATAGATGACCAGTAATTTATTTCCTCATTTGGGATCAATCCCGGTTATACTACATACATGAGATGGTGGGGTTTGGAAAGCTTCATCTGGGGACCATCAAGGACTGAAATCCTGTTGTTTGGGGAATTATCTTGATTCGGTGGTAGCCCCTAAGTTCAGCCCCAGACAGATCATTTCAGAGCTCATGAAATGAAGGTAGACTAAATGAAGGTGTTTGAATCACGAAGTTTATTAAATAAATTTCAAGTATTTAGCAATAGCAAAGGAAAGGGGACTGAATAGATTGACATGATTATGATAGGAAGCAAGCAGATGGAAGGCCCATACCACCCAAGTCCTGGGTTACACCATGTTCACATGCTCTGGCCTTCCCTGCTAATAGTGTGGTTACGAGAACCAGGTGTAGGAGCCTCCCTAAGATGTTCATGCTCTAATCCCTGGAAACTGCAAATATGTTGTGTTGCTTGACAAAAGAGATTTTGCAGATGTGATTGTGTCAAGGGCCTTGAGGTGGGGAGATTATTCTGGATTATCTAGATGAACCTAATCTAATCACATGCATGCTTTAATATTGGAGAACATTTCCTGGCTACAGTCAGGAGCAGATGTCAGGATGAAGTTAGGGACAGAAAGATGTGATATTTGTTGCTGACTCTGAAGATGAAGAGAGGAACCACTAGCTAGAGAATGCAAGTGCCCTGGAAAAGCTAGAAAAGGCATGCAAATGGATTCTCTTCTGGAGCCTTCAGAAACGGATGCAGCCACTCGGAGACCTTGATTTTTCTCCAGTGAAATTCATGCCAGACTTCTAGCCCACAGTACTGTAAAATAATAAATTTGTGTTGTTTTAAGCCACTAAATTTGTGGCAATTTGTTACGGCTATTGGAAACTAATACAGGAAGTGAAGCAAAGGGGCCAGGCAGGTGAAAATTGCCATAAATCAATGCCCACTTTTCTACCAGAGACATGCAAGACGAAGGGTGCTGGCTGGTACCTGACCCCAGTTGTACACCACTGAGCAGCTATACCTTTTATGTGCTTTCTGAAACCAGGGAACAACTGGGGAAGGAATTTGTGGCTGTAGCCAAGATATCATAGCTGTCAATTTAAGGTGACATGAGCCATGACTTATGAATACTTAAGGTTTTCTTGATTTGTCCATCCCTTTCTATCTAAAAATAAAACTCATTTGTTTCATTGTTTTTATCTATTTTAAACGCCATATATTCCATTTATTCAGTCCACCTTTAATTTGCTTTACTGACTGACTTGCAGACATTTCTTACAAATTTTGTCCATTCCACCTCTTCCTGACTTTTATAGCTGAATTGAATACTTCCAAACAATGCTGCAAACACATATTGAGAAACCCACAAAATTCAGTCCTCCACAGGTGTGAGTTGAATGTATTTAGTTTTGTCCATATTGTTGAATATAGTCAAGAATGACTTGCTACCTTGATGAGTCTCACCCTTGTCTCATATTTCCAGTGGACCTGAGGTGATTGTCTTAGAGAGTTTTCTAGCACCTCAGGCTAAACAAACTTCAAATAGATATGCAGATTTTTCCAGTTGAGAATTTGTAAATTCTCTGTTTACAGTCTGAAAGTGAAGTAAACTATTCAGTTATGCCAATACATTGGTGAGGGCTTTGAGTACAAGGACAAATTATATCTGTAAATATTTGTTATGTATCTAATGTACACTTGAGGGATCATGTATTATGGCAATTGTAAGAGAAGTAAAAGCAATTTAAAAACTTTACGTGATTTTGTCTCAAGTTTTAAATATTAAAAAACAAACAACATACTATGTTTTCAAAGTAATTGCAGATCAAGGAGGTTATTGTCTTCTTAACTAGTTGAGAAAAATACAGCTTTTGATAAAATTTTGAATTCAAAATTAGAGACTAGACTACTTTGTGTTCTCACAAACAAAATGATTGGGTTTGTCTTCACTTTTCTTCATTTTAAAGTTGTTTATGGTGCTTGGAGATGGTCTGAAAGATGAAGTTTTTCCCGAAATGGAAAATCAGCTATGGAAGGACCCAAAGTGTTCATTGATAGATGAATAGATAAAGAAGATGTACACACATACACATATACATACCACAGAATGTTACTCAGCAAGAATGAGATCTTGCCATTTGCAACAACATGAGTGGATTTAGAGGGCTAAGTGAAATAAGTCAGAGAAATTTTTAGGTTAAGTGAAATAACTCAGAAAAAGACAAATACCATAGGACTTTTCTTATATGTGGAATCTAAAAAGCAAAACAAATGAACAAACAAACAAAAAAGCAGAAACAGATCCCTGAATACAAGAGAATAAAGTGGTGGTTGCCAGAGGTGTTGGGGAGAGTGGACTGGGGAAAATGAGTGAAAGGGGAGTGGGAGACAAAGGCTTGCAGTTATTAAATGAATAAGTCATAGGGATGAAAGGTACAGCAAAGGGAATATGGCAATGGTATTATAATAGCATTTATGGTGACAAAGGGGAGCTACACTTGTGCTCAGTATAGCATAACATATAGAGTTGTTGGATCACTATGTTGTATGCTTGAAACTGATGTAACATTGTATGTTAGCTATACTTCAGGGTTTTTTTTTTTATACTTCTGTTTTTAAAAAAAGAAAATTAATGTTCTTTTGAATCATAATATTTGTGGTAATACAAGTGAAACCAGGTTTCTTGTTTTAGTAATCATTGACTAATGGGAGTACAACCTATTTCTGAAGGATAGGAGTCACATTGTGCTCGTTGAATTTAGTTTATTAAGTCCATATTTGCATTTAGAAGTTATTTTTCTTCTCAATTTGTATGTGAAGAATGAGAAGGTATTATTACTACTTAGCTACCTCAACAAGGTTTTATATCCTGATACAGAAGTTAACAGAATATTAGGCTCTCTCTAATTATATAGGAATTATTAAATATGCCATTTTTCCCCTAAAAGTCTGTCTCTACCAAGTAGTTTTCTTAAGGAATTGATCAATGGCCAATATAATAAAATCATTTTCTTTGGGTTGTAAAAATTCAGTTAAAC